CAGGTTGTTGTTTACCTTTACCCTTTTTACTTCTTCTGTGGCGTCGTTTGGTATGTAATGGTTCCAAAGCTTTTCTGTTTTTGTTAAGTTTGATTTCCTTTAGGTTAGTGTTTAATTCGTCACCTAGTATGTGGTATCTATTATTATATAGAGTTGTGTTGTTGTGAGCTAGTTCCTATTTCGACCTGTGATCGTGGGAAGTTGGTAAATTTGCTGTTTGACTTCTTGCGACACTGTGCCACCTTTTACGTGATTCATTGTGTTTTCTTTTGCTTTGGCTGAGTGGGTTCTTTAGGATTGAATGAGCCGAGCTTATGTTGTTGAGTAACAGCCTGGTACCTTCTCTTGAGAGATGTAAACCTCCACTATTAAGGTTTGATTGTGAAGTTGTTCCATTCCGAAGAAGAAACGTTTCGTCATTGTCTATCAGCTTGCATCTGTTAAGATCAGCGATACGTTTAATGTTCTTGTTGAGCTTATTTACTCTTTGCTGGTTGTCATGTTTGTCCGTTCTCGGGCACACCGTTGATAGGATTATATGAGATGATGGTGATTTGGATTTTATTGTAAGTACTGTTGAAAATATTAGATTTGATATGAATGACTCCAGATAGATGTATGAATGGTTGTTATTATTATAGGAAATGTTTAGATTTGTACTGTAACGTAATAGTAATACTTAGCTACGATCTATCGCGAGTGTAAAATGGCTAGCAGAGGCTCTGTTGGCAACGGGTACTTGTTGCTAGGCCGTCACGCTTGACTGAACATGTCAATTAATTTGAGTAGGCGTTAACCTTATAGTATTTTCCGATTGATGTGAGTTAATATTGTCTTTCTTATTATTTGTTTGCAGTTTTCGAACGTCGTTTGAAATAAACGTCATTATTATTATAAATCAACAAAGAGTGAGCCTGAGTATTTGAGTATCGACGAAACATTAGAAAAATTCAGTGTTCTGGAAGATAGTGTTTCAAAGCATTCAAGAGAAATTCGGCATTTCGGAGAGTGTATTGCAGTCATTCGAAGAGTTATTACAGTATTTCGAAGAGTTTGATGCTGCTTTCCAAAAATTAACAGTGACAGACTTGTTCCAGTATTAAAAAAACATGACAGAGAACCAAAAGAAAAAAGAACTAAAGCTTGTGAGAAGGAATAAGAAGGGAACCCTTACGAGAGCACTAAAAGTGTTGAGAAACCAGCAAAAGGAAGAATTAATTATCCAAGACTTGAAAGATAGAGTTCAAAAAGTAGAGAAATTGTTTGAAGCAATTGAGGAGAGCCACGGTGAGCTTGTCAGCTTGATTGAAGATGAAGAGGAATTCCTAGAGGAAGAACAATGGATGGAAAGGTGCCAAACAGAGTTTATGGCAGAGATGAATGCAATGAAAATTAATATGACAGACCAAGGGAATCAGTCGAAGCAAACTACAAGTGCTCAAGCAGTTAGTAGCAGTAGCAGTGGAGTGGCAGAGATGAAACCGACGTTGAAGTTAAAACGGATGGAGTTACCAGTGTTTGACGGAGATGTGAAGAAGTACAGTAGATTTAAAGAAGATTTTACCAGATTTGTTCAGCCATCCACACATCCGGATCAGTTAGCATTTGCCCTCAGGCAAGCATTAAGTAGGGACCCCTTGAGAATTATAGGACCGGTCGAGGACGAATACGAGAAGATGTGGTTGAGGCTAGACGAGAGATACGGGTGTGAAAGAAAATTAGTAGAAGCAATAATCAAGGAGGTGGAAAACAAGAAGGAAGTAAGAGAAGGTGATGGAAAGAAATTAATAGAATTCATTGACGTAGTAGAAAGCAGTTACAGAGCCTTAGTGAAAATCAAGCAAAAAAGTGAAATGTCAAATATGAAGGTTCTTGGTGAGATCGAGAGAAAGCTACCTGATACGGTGTTCCAGAGATGGGTGAGAGATAGAATAAAGACCGAAGATAAAATGGCAGAGAAGGAAGATGTAATAGTGATGTTGATTGAGTTTTTGAAGACGGAAAGAAAGAGAGTTGAGTATACTATGGAAACTATGAGAAGTAACAATTCGAGCCGTCAACAAATACCTAAATCGTCTGCGGTCCTAGCGGCGGATGTTCAAAGAGTACCACAACAACTCTGTTTAATACATGATGGTGCCAGACATAACACAGAGGAGTGCAAGTCTTACATGGCACTCAAAATTGAAGATAGAGTAAGCATACTAAAGGACAAGAGGGCATGTTTCTGCTGCCTAAAGACAGGACATATTGTTGCAAGATGCTGGAAGAAGAGGCCGTGTGGAAAGAATGGTTGTACACGGGTGCATCATCCTTCCATACATTTTTTGGTAGGAGACCAGAAGAGCCAGCAGTCAGGAACAATGGCCACCATACAAAACAACATGCACAACAATGAGGTTGGGTGCTTATTGCAAGTTATGAGTATTAAGTGCAGAAAAGGACCCTGTCTAAACGCCATGTTTGACAGTGGAGCAATGTCCTCACTTATAACACATGAGGCGGCACGTGTCATGAAGGCGAGAGGAAAGCCGGTGACCATAAAAATTACTAAAGTGGGAGGTGAATCAAGCACAATAGAGACAACACGATACCAGGTGCCACTCATAGATAAGAATGGGGAAGAAGTAGTGATCGCCGCATATGGCATTGAGAAAATTACAGCGATGGTAAAGCCGCTGGCGAAACTGGCGAAAATACTGGAGGTCGACCATGACAAGGTCCGAAGACCTGTGGGTGATGTCAACA